TCATTGTTTTATGAGCTACTTAGGGTTTCTATGATTTCTACCTACATTCTAACCCTATAGCTTCGGTTTCAGTATTTACGAAACACCAGCATTCCATTCGGCTTTCAGATAAGATAAGTCAAAAGCACTAAAAATATTTTTTTTATTTAGTTTATTTATTTTTGTTCTATTATTATTACTTTTTTTATTTTTATATTTCGCGTACGCCTCGCCCTAATTTTTGCTGACAGATGGTCACGAGTAACGCAGGCTAGAAGAATTTAAAAACCGAAGACATCGCGCGAATCGTTACCAAAAAGGCTTGACCCATTAATAAGTGAGCTGTTGATCGCTTATCCCCCAATTGACACCAAAATGTTGTCAATACGCATATTACCTAACATGAGCATCAGACCTTTGAGGGAGACTGGTCTCCCTTTCTCTTTCTCCAAGAGAATCTGATAATAACATTACATGTTACAAAAAAAAAAACAACAACAAAACAAAAATAAATAACAAATAAGCACCAGCTGATAAGGAGTTTTAACTCACAACCTGTTCTAAGTTATTCATGCAAACAGAGGTCAGTATCCAACAGACGAGCGATAATACTTGCAACTCGTGGCCTTTAGGAGGAATGTTAGGTGTTTTTAGACGAAATGCTGGAAAAGAGCCCACAATCCTTTATCCCTCGAGAACTGAATCCCCTTTGACCCTGAAACACGTGCTGCACGTKAGTCTGCATGCATTGCGTAACATATTGATTATGTAATACCGAAGAACAAGAAAGCAAATAAGTAGAATGCACACTGCACATTAAGGTGTTTTTGAGAATTGCAAAGGAAGAGTCATTTAGTGAACTCGCTCTGCTCCAAACAATAAGAAAGAAAAACGACCTAATTTCACTGTGTACGAAACCATTATGTAATGAAGAAGCTKAAGTGTAAAGGGGGAAATCCCATATTTGCTGCAGTAGAGGTGATATGCACGCATCTAAAGCCTTTTATTTTGACTGTTAAAACAGGTAAACTTTTACGGTGATCTGCAATGTCTTAGGGTAGCTTTCCTGTCAGACATGAATGTTTCTTGAACAGGATCCGCCAATTTTAAAATGTCTTTTATATTCTTATTAGTCTTTAATTAATGATGAAACAAAATACTGTTAAAGGGATTAAAACCAAGGTCATTCACGTGCCTTGTGCAGGCCCGTAGTGTGCCTTACAAATGGAGGGGGGGGGGGGGGGTTTTTTTCATAATGCGGACCTAAATCAAATGTTTAACTAAATTAGTTCAATGCACAGGTATGGTGTGTAAGAATTGAACTGGCTGCTAGAATGAGCAGCTCGTAACAAAATAATCTCAAAAACAGTTCATAACAAAAGAATTTTAAATAGAACTAAAAAAAAGAGAAACACTGGACCTTTTGAGCTTGTTGTGGGGTTCGTCCGAACCCCCCCAGGCTACGGGCCCGTTGTGACACTATAAAAACTGAGGTACTAGTAATAGGCTATCAGTCCAATCTGTGCTGTCATCTGTTCATAGTGAGATTGAAGAAGTTTCACAGTAATCGTACATACCATGGTAAGTTTGCCTGTTTTATTATTGCCTATATGTTCCTTGACAGTTTCTAAGAGGCTAAAATATAGT